TGGGGTTGTTGTGGCCGAAGTGCAGGACCCGGCACTTGGCCTTGTTGAATCTCATGCAGTTGGCCTGGGCCCATCGATCCAGCCTGTCCAGGTCCCTCTGCAGAGCCTTCCTGCCCTCGAGCAGATCAACACTGCCGCCCAACTTGGTGTTGTCTGCAAACTGACTGAGGGTGCACTCATGTAATTACATATATAATGAAGAGCTTGTTACCCTCAGACCCTTTTCTTGTCAATGAGGGCTGTACGCACTGTTTATCTGACTGGGGTAGACATCTGGTGAGACAAACAGCCTTCTGGCAGCCCCTGTTCCCCAATGTGATTGGTGGGGTCCAGATAACGATCTGAGATGCTGATACCTACACAGCAGGCATCTGCACCCAGGTGAGGGGACAGTGACCTGTAAGGAAGGACAATCCTTGCCTGTGTTACAGCTTGGCAAGGTGGGTAAGCAGGACTGAAATCTTCCCTCCTCAGCATGCAGAAGTGGTTCCTGTACACCACAGGGAGCTGCCAGAGCTCTCCTCCCTGCGAGTGCGTGATTTGGCTATTGTTTACTTCATTTATGCTGGAAAACAGCACTTGCATTTGTACATACAAGAATATCCAAGTCCAAAATCTTTTGCTCTTGGGCTAGCAGATGTTCACAACGCTACTTTTTGGCAGCACGCTGGTGAATGCTTGTTGGCTGGATCCTGCAAAATGTTGCTGCACTATCTGGGTTCTCAGCTGTGCACAGCTCTCGAAGATGCAGAAACCACTTGGTGCAAAGGCACTTATATCAGGTCTTTGCTGCCAGGGTTATTTTTAGGGAAGGAAAAGATCACCAAGTCTGATATTCATTCACAGAAAGAAAGAAAATAGAGGTGCAAAGAATTAAAAAAAAAAAGATCTAAAATGAGGATGAAGCTCACAGCCAGCAGAGAAGATGTGCTCTGCAACACCCACACAGAAGAGATATGGGAATCTCATTCATAAAGCACTGGAAGCCACACTCAGATATCCAGGTGAGGGAGTCACCTGGCAATATCAGAGCACAGGTCTAGGTATCTGCATGGTGCTCCTTCTCTTGCTCTTCTACAGAACAAGGAAAAGCCAGAGCAAGGACCGGTGAACTCCCTCCATGGCTCCCAAGTCCAGAGGTCGGATTTCTGTATGAGATACAGAAAGCTGCTTTCACCCTTCATCCAGGATGCCACCTCTCAAGTCTTTTTGCCCTCTGGTGCAACACAGTCAATACAGTATCACATCTGTCAATCTAGTAAACAGCTCTCTGTGTCCTGGCATAGAGAAGCCCATAATTCAACCATCAACTAGGTACTGTGTCCCCTCCATCTCCATAAGCTTTCTGACTTGTGGGAGCTGTAGTTCTCCATGCCAAGAACTGATCACAAAGGTAAAATGCCCTCTTGCTGTCTCAGCAAACTCAGAAGTCTGGATCCCCATCACCACAGTGAGAGAGACGTGAAGAAAGCTTTGCTTTATGGCATGGTTACTCTTTTATGATTTCTGTGAATTCTTTTGTAGAGTGGGATCTGCTGCTTGATCTTTGACAGGACAAAGATACTGCACTAGGAAAATGACCAACAGTAGCTTCCTTAGACCTTCAACCTTCTTTCTAACAGGAATCCCAGGAATGGAAAGTGGGAACATGTGGCTTGCCGTCCCTTTCTGCTGCATGTATGTTATTTCCATCCTGCGAAATAGTGCAATCCTCTTTGTCATCAAAGCAGAGCGCAGCCTCCATGAGCCCATGTACCTCTTCCTGTGCATGCTGGCTATCGCAGACTTTGGTATGTCTCTGTCTACACTCCCCACAGCTGGTGAATAATAGTTTAGATATTCTCTATTCCATCCTGTAATCCATTTGACTGCTGAGGATCCTGAACCTTTAAACTCTTCTTATGCAGTAGATGAAGTATACCCTGTTTCTAGGCCCACAGCATTTTCTTTGCTGTATAAAGGAGTGTTGCAGTATCTACAGTCTTCTATACATTCCTGGTCAATAATGCAGGAGCTGTAGCTGCCTGAGGTTCCTAAGCTAATGGCCCTTCTTTTTAGACAAGGAGGGCATAGCAATGGACGTGTGGGGGTAAGGGTTTCCCACCTTCACCATGGCACTGGGTCAGCTGGACCCAGAGCTGCTGCCAGAACGAGGGAGTTGATCCTCCTGGCCAGCACTGCCTGGGCATGTATCTGCAGGGAAAATCTAATGCTTCCTAGATGTGCTCAGCCATCTAGCCTTTAGTGCATCAGCATGCACTAGAGCATAGATCTGCATATGTGCAATAGCTGTTTATTCAAGCTTTTTACACCTGCAGCCAGACTTGCTAAGACTGGGAAGTGTCTAAGGATCTAGGCGTATGGTAAAGCCCTCTCGTTCCAGCCAGGTGACATTTCCAGCAGGAACAAGACATATCCAAAAGCTGTGATTCGTGCTGCAGGAGCTGAAAGTCACCATATGTTTCCCTTCCCAGGGAGTGTAACCAGCCCACTCTGGGGTGTTGCAGACTCACGGCAGCTGGGATGGTTCATCTGCTCTGCCTGGACCAGCCACTTAATGGCTCAGTGCAGACCCCGGATGGAAACGGAGCCTGTGCAATATCACTGCAGCAGCACCGGGCTCATGATACCATCAGGTTGTAATGGGAGCAGAATTATAGGCAAAAAGGGTTCAGGTCAGATCTCCAGCTGGTGTGAGTGGGTCCAGCTCAGCCACTGCACTGCAGCTCCACCATCCTGTATTACAGCAACAGGAGAGCCAGCTCCCACTGGGGACTCCTGAAATGAGGTGCATCCATGCACACTGGGTGTTTAAGCTCCTGTCACCCAGGAGGAGATCTAATCAAGACAGAGCCTGGAGAGGAGTGGCTCAGATCACCCTAAAGCAGATAGTTGGGGTTGGTTTCACCCCAGAATACCCTGCCTGCTCATCATACCTCTCTCTGCTTTGATTTCCATCTATTTGAATAGAATTGCTTTGGCATAAGGTTAAAAAGCAGAGTCGCGAAGCAATGCTATGCGCTTAAAACAAAACAAAACCATCGGTAGCAGTGCTGGTTGCAGCCCTGCTGTGCACAAGGCTGTACATCAAAGGCCAGCGCCTTCCTCACAGGTCTGCAGCATCCACCATCCCAGGAGGGGCCAAGAAGGGCCAAAATAAATCCTGCCTTCTTTTTTCCCTTACATAAAGCTGTCATTACTGAGAACAACCAAGGAACACTGGCATTTACTGAAACCTAAATAGGCACATGAATACCGAAGGGAAATTACAGAAAAATAACAAAAAGTACCCTACGTATTCCAAGTCAGACTGAGAACTGAATGGTCATCAGAGCTTTACTGGTTACCTGATAAGATTTTGTTGATGTGACCCAAACAACAGGCTGAGCCCCCTTCCTAGGGTTTCAGGGTTGAGCACTGGGTTTGAGAAACCTTCATGGGGTTTCCCTGTCTCTCATGGCAGCCCAGGAGAACTATCAAGAGATGTATTACATAAACCTACCACCATGCAGCAAGAGTTTCTTCAAACTCCTTGCTTTGAGACCCACTTCTGTGGCACTTGTGATCCGAATACTAGCTTATCACATTCAGGTGTTACCATGTCTCGTGGTGGTTCTGTGTGTGTTGGGCTGTGGTACACTCAAAAGCTTGTTACAGCAAAAGGAAGCACGCCTTCTATGTGGAGCCAAGAATTTATTGTTATTGCAATTAAAGTTTTAACAATCTTATAAAAACACAGAAGACAGTTGCTATCAGTCCAGTGGCTGACGTAGTGTCATCTGCAAGCTTTGAGCGTTCACTGTGCACTCCCTCATCCAGGTCACTGATGACAATGCAGAATAAAATGAGTCCTAGCAGAGATCCCTTGGGGAGGCCACTGCTGGCTCTTCTCTGGACTGAAAATGACCTACCCTTACTTCAACCAACTTCCCATCCCTAGAAGAGGGTTTCCTCCAATCCATCTACAAAGTAATTTCATTAAAAGCATTTAGTCAAAGGCTTTTGGGCATCCATGTGTATTATGGCCACGGGATCCCTCCAGCTGGAGCCACTCTCACAGAAGTCCAGCAGACTGCCGTGGCAGGATTCCCCCTTGCAGTAGCCTGGCTGACTCTGCAAGAGCTTTGCCCATATGTGTTTACCCATATGCTTAGTGACTTTATTCTTTATCACAGCCTCTACTGTCCCACCGGCGATAGAAATCAAGTCCACTGGTCAGTAGGTCTCAGGAACCCCATGGACCCCCTTTTGCAGGTGGAGTTGAAGGGATGATCCATCCTGCAGCACCATGACCATTTGCAATAGAGTGATACACCCTGCCCAGCAGGTCTGCAGCTTCACATCTGAGCTCCTTTCAGACTTTCAGGTGAATGACACCTGATCCTGGGAGTTAGTGATATTTAACTGGTATTTCTTTGACGTAATCCCTCCTCCATATTTACTTCAAACTGATCAAGATCCTCTAATCCATTTAGAGGATCTTCTGCTATGAAGTCTGTGTCAGGTATAGAAATCCGATGCAAAGAATTCACTGAGCTTCTCTGCTATGGCCTTATCAGCCCTGAGTACGCTTCTCACCCTTGGTCACCAAGTGGTCCACCTGTTTCCTAGCTGGATTCCTGCTTTTGATGCATTTAAAGAGCTTTCTGCTGACAGAGCATCCTTTGCAAGGTGCTCTTCCCATTAATTTTTCTCTCTCTTAAACTCCTGCATATGTTCGACCTGTCACTTTTTATGGGCATTTCATGTAGGCAAGCTTCCCACTTCTTAATGACTGCTGGGCTGCTGGCCATGGCCAGGCCAGGCCAGTTTTTGACACAGGACCCTGAGGAGGCCTTTGTGAATGGGCTTGTTTTTCATGCTGTTGATGATGGCGTTCAACACAGGTGGGACAAAAAGGTAGACGTTGGCCATGAGCACACGGCTGAAGGGTGCAGCATTCTTCCCATAATGGTGTATAATGGACAGGCCAACCATGGGGACATAGAAGATGAGGACAGCGCAGAAGTGAGAGATGCAAGTGTTGAGGGCTTTCGTCTGCTCCTTTCTGGAGGTGATGTCTACCACGGCCTTAATGATCACAGTGTAGGACAAGGTAATGTCTAGGATCACGAACAGCACCAGGGTTAGGCCGTACAGGCTGTTCAGGGTGGAGTCTGTGCACACCAGCTGTATCATAGAATCATAGAATCATTAAGGTTGGAAGAGACCTCCAAGATCATCGAGTCCAACCGTCAAGCCAACAACAACATGCCCACTAATTTCAGGTGGTTGTAGAGAGCAATGAGGTCTCCCCTCAGCCTCCTTTTCATGTCCTGGTGCAGGCAACAGGAGTGGGACAGCACGTGAGACCTGCAGAACGGCAGCTGCGTGAGCAGGCAGATGAGTGGGAGTAGCGTCAGAGAGTGGCAGACCATTCCCAGCCCAATCTTTGCAATCCTGGCACTTGTGAGGATGGAGGAGTACCTCAGTGGGCAGCAGATGGCCATGTAGTGATCAAAGGTCATGGCCAAAAGCACCGAGGACTCCATGAAGGAAAAGGCATGGATGCAGAACATCTGAGTGAGGCAGACCAGGAAGCTGATCTCTCTGGTGCTGAGCCAAAAGACGTGCAGCATCATGGGCAGGGTGGACAGAATCAGGCCCAGGTCCACGGTGGCCAGCATCGAAAGGAAGTAGTACATGGGCTGGTGGAGCCTTCAATTCACTCTCACAATGAGCAGGATGGTGCCATTTCCCAGCATTGCAATGAGATACATCGGACAGCAAGGGAAGAAAACCCAGGGGTGGAATTGAGCCATCCCGGGAATGCCCGTCAGCAG